ATGGTAGTTCAAATTCATGATCATATATATATATATATATATATATATATATATATATATATATATATATATAAGAGAGAGAGAGAGAAGAAACTTATGTCAACTTAAGTGACGTCCACTAAGTTTCTTAGTCATTGATGATCACATGATTGAGCTACATTGTGGATGATCCGCTCCGTTGAACTTAATCTACATATTCTAAAACCCCAACACACCAAATTTGGGGTGAACCCGTCGTGTTTGACCCTCCGTCGAGCCATGTAAAAAGTTCTATTCATTCGAAAACCGTTAAAATTGATACGGGTGGATGAATGGTCAAACCACGATGGGTTTCACCCCAAATTTGGTGTGTTTGGTTTTAGAATAGTAGATTAAGTTCAACGGAGCGGATCATCCACATGTAGCTCAATCAAGTGATCATCAATGACTAAGAAACTTAGTGACGTCCACTTAAGTTGACATAAGTTTCTCTCTCTCTCTCTCTCTCTCTCTCTCTCTCTATATATATATAATATATATATATAATATATAATATATATATATATTATATATTATATATATATAATATATATATATATATATATATATTATATATATATATATATATATATATATATCGCCTAAACTATGCATATCCAATATATGTATATATATCTCGCCTAAACTATCCAAGTAAGCCTTTGGGTCACAAGGTGTTCAAATGCTTTTTACATGTTGTAAGTGTTTGCAATTCAAGGTTTTCAACTGCACAATAATATACATATTCTACATATAAATTGTAGGTAAAGAGTTGTAGGACCTTATAAGTCCTGATCTTATTGTCCATAAACCAAAGGACAAGAAATCAGACTAAGTCCTCTTAAGGTTGTTGCCATGTTAGTGTGCCAGATACTAAATCAAATATTGCTTGTGGTTATGGTGGCCTTTTGTCATCACCCTCCCTTACTTTAGGATTTCATACCAATCACAGAAGCGAACTAATGTAGCATTATTTATATATTAGTCCCTTCATTAATTCCATATTAGACCTCAAATCTTTAAAGCTGCTCATACGTCCCTCAAATCCTAAAGGTTTTTAACTGGCGTAGGCGTTAGATCTAAAGGGAATATTTTGTCAAATCTAATGTTTTGAGGGGAACTTTCGGTTCTACACCTTAGATTTAAGTTTAACCAGCCAATTTCTTAGCAGGTTTAAACCTAACACCCTGTTAAGTGAAAACTCCAAAATCAAAAATCCCCCCAGCCCATTTCTGAGCTTCCCCAAGAGTCACTTCTGAGCTTCCTCGAAGTTTTGGGGGTGGTTTTTCGGTAATTGAGCATGTTGGCTTAAGAGTAAACTCAACTATGGTCTCAATATCTAACTAAAAGAGGCACCGTTTGCCAGACCACTTAACATTTGATAGGGAGTTATGAGCAATTTCTAAGATTGAGGGTTGAAAGATTTTGAGGGACTAACAACTAAATAACCCAATAAAATATCAGGAAAATGACATCAAGGCCCCCAGTTTTCAATCCTCTCTCCACAACTTCCTATCTAATTCTTCTGTCACAGTCAAGGGGCGCCCACGTCATTTCCCCTCAATCCCACATTCAGGCCAACTACACTATATATTGAGCCCTTGTCATGCTAGTTCCAGCACTACCACCAACTCCCCTTCCAAATTCTCAAACATGGGAAAGCTCTCTCTGAGATCTCTCCTCCCTTCTTGCTTCATTGGCAATGGCAGCATCCGTAAACCTCGGCGACCGGAGGTGAGTCGAGTTTCTGACCAGGAAAGGCTATCCTTCTCTGATATAAGCTCTCCAGAGGATCTCTCATTGTCTGTCATAGGATCAAACCTTCATGTTTTTACCACTAATGAGCTTAAACAAGCAACTAGGGGGTTCTCAATGAGTAACTTGATTGGTGAGGGCGGGTTCGGGCCGGTTTATAAAGGGTTTGTTGATGAGAGGATCCGACCTGGGATTAAAGCTCAGGCTGTTGCAGTTAAACTCTTGGATTTGGAGGGAGTGCAAGGGCACAAAGAATGGCTGGTGAGCATTGATACGATAGACTCTATTTTCCTTAACATGTTTGATTAATTGATAAATCTATAATTTGAGTAGATACTTAGAAGAAATTTGGAAATTTTGCATCTATTCTAATTTAATTGTTAGTTTCAACATATTGACAGGTAAAAGATGCATGATAAGTTTCTTAAAAGTCCACCAAATTAAGAGCAACAAAATAATGAATGTATGTGATAATTTATAAGATTTCGGTTGGCAAGATCCATGCAATTTAAGATCTCGAGGGTGTGAATAAGATTTTTTTTCTTTTTTCTTTTAAAGCTAAGAAATCCTTAACGATTTGGAAATTACTGTTAGGGTCATTGGGTAACATATATATGATCTATATTGTGGCAGGCTGAAGTCATATTTCTTGGGCAATTGACACACCCAAACCTTGTAAAACTTATCGGTTATTGCTGTGAAGATGAGCACAGGCTTCTGGTGTATGAGTTCATGGAAAAGGGAAGCTTAGAGAACCATCTCTTTAAGAGTAAGTCTGCCTTTATTTCTAGTATATGTCCTTTGAGTAATCCTTTATTCAAATTAACATAAAAAACTTATTGACTTGTGATGACTAATTCTTGTTTATTTCAGGACTTCTTGGTCCATTGCCATGGTCTACAAGATTACAAATTGCGGTAGGAGCTGCTAAAGGCCTTGCCTTCCTTCATGAAGCGGAAAAGCCTGTTATCTACCGCGATTTCAAAGCATCAAACATACTACTAGACAAGGTTCAATTCCTACCCTTTTGCTAAACTTTTCCACAACAAGTTTCCTTTTTTTTATATATAGGAAATAGGAGCCTTAGCACATTTTGTAGAACTCTTTTGGTTGAACTCTTTGAATCAGTCATTTTTTCCACATTTAGTTCCCTATGCCAATTTGAAGCAGTCCATTAAAAAAAAAAAAGTGGCAAGCACAGAGGAATTTGGTCCCCTCCCTCTGTTGCAAGGTTGGCTGAGACTATTCCCATTGAACAACTCTCGAAACTTTTTTTGAGTCTAATGTCATTTGGAGGTCAATTAACAATAATTGTACATTAATTATCATAATTTGTCCACTTCCATCGGAGTCAACCTTAGAGCCTAATCCAATTAGAACCAACCACACGAGTCTGAGTTGTCATTGGCGAAAACCATCGAAAGGATTGGTGGCATAAAATTAACCAGGGACAACTTCAGTATGAAACTGAGTAACAATACTTAAAGCAAATGTACGAAGTCTCACACTTCATCTCTTGAGCTTTCACATAAGAAGATTCTAACACTTGGAATATCCTTTGATTCCGAACTGTTTGATTGACCATCTTCAAAAAGATCAAGTGAAATGACCAGCATGAACATCCAAATCTTTGGCAAGCTCTCCAAATTGAGCCGAGATTGATCCCAGTTTCATATTAGCAAAAGTTGTGGCAAAGAAAAAGGACCATTATTTGCCCTTAAGTCAAAGAAGGGACCCTTAAAAGTGGTTTAAAGCTGGACCACCCCTTCCCCTTTGGTTTATTCCTGGCCTGATTAGGATAAAACAGGGAAGGGTTGGCAAACACAAAATATTAAGAACTTCCCATAACTTTTGTCGAGAAAATAAATGTAGGGGCAAAAAAAAAAAAAAAGCTTTCTAGTTACATTTCTATTGCATCTGAATCTACACTCACCCAATTTTTCAGGATTTTAAGACAAAGCTTTCAGATTTCGGGCTAGCTAAGGACGGGCCGGAAGGGGATGCCTCTCATGTTTCAACTCGAGTCATGGGCACAGAAGGCTACTGTGCACCTGAATATGTCATGACTGGTAAAAAAAAACCAGCATAATAATAATAATAACAATAATAAATTCAAAAGGGTTAACTGCGGATGGACTCCCTGCACTATCGCACAATTGCGGATTGACCCCTCCTGATTGAATTTTTTTTGACTCTTTTACGATCAAGATTGTCAAAAAAACAATTTTCTCAGTCTACAAGGGTAGTAGAGTTAAAAAGTTTCGTTCGAGGGGTCCCATCCGGAATTAACCCTTCTTCAAAACTATTTTTCAACTCCCCCTCCTAACGCCAAAATCAACTAAACAATACAGGTCATCTCACATCAAAAAGCGACGTTTTCAGCTTCGGCGTAGTCCTCCTCGAACTCCTAACGGGCAGGAGATCAGTAGACAAAACTCGGCCGAGCAGAGAACAAAACCTCGTCCGCTCAGAGAGCAGCCGCGTTGGCTCACAAATGCCTGAGCCATAACCAGAAGCTGAGGCCGACGATGAGAACGGTTGTCGAAACCTTAGAGCCTATTCTGGAGTTGGATGACGTGCCAGTAGGCCCCTTCGTTTATACTGTCGTTGATGGTGATGGTGGAGATGAGCGGGAGGAGGACAAAACGAGGGGGAATGGAGTTGGCAAGTATTGCGATCAGCGACACAAGTTGAGGTTTCCTGATTCGACGATGCATTGTGATGTCGGTTTGAATAAGAAGAACACGAGGCAGCAGAATAGGAGGAGAGGGGAGTAGATTTTGTGATGCGAAGCGCTTTGTGTATAGAGCATGTTAGCTCTGTTTTTTTTTTTACCGGTTTTGTTAAGCCAAGTTTATGTGACTATTTTACAATTTTATGTGAATTTTCATTATAGCACACAAAGTTTCATCCAATTTTTTCACTTTGATACGGCCAAGTTTAATTTTGTCCGAAAGCTAGCAAAAGAGACAATTAACAATGCAAACGTTAAGGTAGGACGTGAAATCTATACTTCTATCCTTTTGATAACCATTAAAATAGAAGAAGAATTGGTGTGTAATTTTTTTAAAGGATAAATATATACCAAAGCAATCACAATGATAGCGATATGATCTAGAGAAACACTTTAAGCATGTTAACGTGAAAATAATTATAATTTTATCCCCAACATTAAGTTACGATTTAGCTCCCGACCCAAATCATTACAAAATTACAGAGGAGGCAAATAGAAATTACAACGGCTGTAATATCATAATCCAATAATATCAGCACAAGGTCAGCTCAAACTCATCCAATCTCAAACCGGCATCAAAACTTTCACTAATGAGGTGAAAACTCGACACGACACAATTAGCACAGAAAAATGCTTACGTTACAAGTCTCTGAACAAGCAGTAAGTGCAAATATCTACAGACTGCAGCATACATGGTTACAAACAAGAATTTCGAGGCCGCAAAAATAACCAATAGGACTGACTCACTACGCACCAAAGCTGCTAGTATGCACACACTAAACATGAAAATTTTTGTACCGCAACATGTCATGTAGTTTCTCTCCAGTTATCCTTGTAAAATGTATATCAAGCAACTCGTAACCGACCCTGCTCTTGTGCTAGCGAGGTAATTTTTCCTTAGAAGAATTGGCTGGTTAAATGGAGAAGAATACCACTCAACTTCTATTGTTGGCCTTCAACAATCAGTGAAACAAGTTCATTTTCTTGTTGCTGGCCTTTCAACTTTGAAGGGAACCATCTTTTCAATCTCTCGGGTAAATACCTATAATATTGAATATTTTCATCAGAGAAAAGGTAATAAAATGCTGTTGCATTAGGTCCACGAAAAATGGCTACAAAGCATACAGTGTCCCAAATTTTATTATAATCGTTCTGATGCTGATGAGAGTCTATACTTGTTCATAATTTGTCATAGATTTAATAAGTAAGCTCATCCCTGAAGTCATAATCAAAAAATTAAATGAATTAATGTCAATTCTTAACTTACATTTCAAATCTTTCTGCAATTGCCCGTCGCACGGAAGAGTTAAGACCATAAGCAATACAATTAAAGAAACCCTGAAACAAGAAAAGCAAGAATCAATACAGGCATATAGTGTAAAATACAAATGCATTTTTTAAGGGACATACATCAATCAATTAATAGAAGACTGGGGGCAATTATACCAACAGTATTTCATTTATTACATTGTTGTTCTTTTTAAGAAAAAAAGTATAATCCAAATTTGCACCAAGCATTTCTAAAAGATCATTCTTAGTGTCAAAAATCAGGATATCCAAACAAGGACTGAATATATATACACCCACCCACCTGCTAGTAAGTTACCTCCAATTTTTTGGAAAAAGCTAAGATTTAGCCAAAAACGACTAATTCATCCAAAGGATATCAAAAGAACAATTTATGTACTTCAATTGAGAACGTAAAGCTTATGTTTCAGCTTCACTTCCAGTTCGGTTGTGTTCTCGCACTGCCAGGGGTATATTTTAAAAACAGTGGTTTTATGCAGAGCAGCATAAATAACTATATAGTCTAAAATATGGACCATCAACAACAAAAACAAACTCAAGATGCTAAACCCTGCTCAATTCAGAAGTTCCATTTATAGCAAACTAGTACTCTAGTGCACAAGATGTGTGCATGACAAAAAAATGTGGGGGAAGTGTTATAATCAAATTGTCTAGGAAACAAGTAGTTATAATTTTGAGTGTATTTTCATTGTTTTCCCCCTCCAAGTTTAGGGACGTTTCCATGATTTTCTTTTTTCCATGTGAGGGCATTCCCTTTGATTTTGTCAAGTGTGACTGCATTTTGTTGATTTTTTTCATGTGAGGGCATTTACAATTAATTTTTTCAGATATAAGTATAAAATAGTGGCCCACAATGACTAAAAGGGAAGCTTTTCTTAATATATAGTATAGATATAGATATACCAATTGAAGTTGCCACTTGCCAGAAGTTAGTCAAATACATAATGGACTCTTGAGTATACATACTCTATGTTTAAGCCCCACATCTCTGTTGTTTCGATGGAAGGCCACAGTTTTATGTCAACCAGATGTCAAAGACTAAATACTAATTGGGCTTTATATAGGTCCCAAGTCTTCCAGACAACCATCTAAGTGCTAGTGATATACTCAGTCGTCATGCACATATGAGAAAGCATGTCTAGTCCTAACAGTTCAAAAGTTTCAGGTTCTTGTATCTAAAATGTTTCTAAGAATCAGAGCTAAACTTGGATGTTTATGCCTTGAACTTGATAGGTCCATGAATATTCTAAAAGATCCAAAAATTGAAAGCAACATCCAATATATAAAGTTAAATCCATGATTTCGTTTTATGGAGAAAAATTCAAGTTATAAAAGTTGAATGCACTTACCATGAGTCCCGCAAACCAAACATCAGCAAATGAAAGCCAAAATATCTTATTGCCTGGATAAATGAAGTCGTGCACACGATTGATTGTTGCAAATGCCCAAGATCCTATCAAAATCAATGGATAGTATCCCCATCTATTTAATGCCTACAAGAGGAACCAGACAAGGACATGAAAACACATGCTACACAATTAATTGCAAGGAAACAGTATTCTCAGTATGCTTAGCTCAAGTAAATACAATAATGACACCATGCAGTACAACATAGATACTCCCGAGTTATTATTATGGAACAAAACTGGGTCACCATGTTTACTTACTGTGGTAGGAGCATTGCTAACAAGTAAAGGGTTTGCCACTTTGTGAAATTGGGATATAACTGATGCATATGTTCCATGGTATCAGCATTCAGGAATGTGGGCAATGGTGTGGAATTGGATACGTTCTGAAGTCTAGCGAATAGCAATCCAGACAATTATTGTATAAAAACTTCAAGCCAAGTGATATGTTATTGTGATTACAGGACTAAATCCTAACACTTCATAGTCATGTCATGTGTTGCGACTAAAATGTCTAATTGACTGTATTCTGCGAGCAATGTTACAGAAAGCGCTAGACGGACTAGGTATTTCAGCCAGCGCCTAGCGCTTAGACGCCTAGACGGCGTCTAGGTGTTCGGCTATTTTTAAAATTATTTTACATGGTTGTATAAAAGCTGTATGGGAGATTTTTTTTTTTTTCCATTTCTACCCTTCATGAAACGATCTATTATTTTTATTCACGGTTTATAAACTAAAAGAAACTAAGGGTATTTTGGAAAAGATATGGCCCAAAATTTGACCTCCCTGTTCACATTCCTGTTCCTTGGTGTTTCCTCTCAGTTCTTTCTCCTACACGTTTTTTGTTTAGGCAGTGATGGAATAGGAATAGTTCCAGTTGAGGAGGTGTGGTTGTGGGTGAGGGAGGTTATGGGAGAAGTAAGGGGGGCACGAGAGTGGGTGAGGGAGCTGTGCATCTTGAGATTTTTGTTTTTTGCTGTTCTGCCTTCATAAGAACCCAAAGCCAAATGCCCTTTCTCACCGCGGCATTCACCAGTGAGAAGTTTCTCTCTAGCCGGCATTAAAGGTGAATTTTTTTGCCTCAGTTTCTTTGGTTTTGGATCATTCAATTTTGCTGGCATTATTGTAAAATCCTCTGCTTTTTGTCATTCTTGCTGTGCTTATTTAGTCATGATTTATTACATTAGATGGCATTTTTAACTTCAAGTCATGATTTATTACAACAAATAATAAGTTGTCCCTTTTAAAAACAGGTGAAAGGTTTTTTGGGGTTGGGTCTTCATTGGTCTTCAACCATTAACAAAGTAGCTGCAACTCCCCCAAATTAGATAGAATTCAGTGTTTTCCAATTTGGCATAGTCCTTGAAAATTTTACTTTATTCTGTGAAAGATGTTGTGTCTGAAATAGTTTTGGCTTCTATATATTCTTTAGGTCATGAGGAGATATTAAACTGACATTGGGATTTTATTTGGTTTTCTACTTGAGATTGGGATGTTGATAAGAACAAAGATATATGCAGATTAAGCTGTGGGCGCTGGATATACCTTCTCTCCGTAAGCCTGTTGAGGGCTTTCATTCCTTCCTTCGCAGTTGCTTGCTTTTCTTCGAGATGATGAGGTTCCCAGATCCGCATACTAAGTTCTTTTTTCTTCTTTAACCTATTTGTCCTTTTACTTTTATTTTTCCTTAATTTTCTGAAATAATGTGGTAATGAGTATCTATGAAGCACGGACACGCATAACATGAAGCCGTGTCGTGTCGTGTCCGTGTCGGGCACACGTGTCGAACACACGTATCCTATATATTTTTTAGGATTTGCCTCGTGTCGACGTGTCGGATGGCCGTGTCGGATCCGTGTCCGTGCTACATAGATGAGTATATGTTGTAAGGATGGTGAGGAAGATGGGGAGGAATCAAGGAAAGACAACCTCCCACTCGACCCCTATTGTCAAAAGATTGAATTTTTCTGATAATGACTTACCCTTGTGCGTGAACACAACTGTTAACTTCTTAAGTCAAAAGAAAATCACGAACTAGCCACCTACTATTTAATTAATGTTGATTCTTTGCTCATGTCTGCAAAAAGGAGGTAGAGAGCTTTGTCCGCCTGTAATCACATCATCAAATAATCTTCCTTATCGCTATATTTATACATTACACACTAGTGTCTTCTTTTAGCTAAATTTATACGTTATACACGATTGTATTCCTTTTTCTTGAATTATTAGCTCAAAACATGCATGCACCATTTTTCTAGATAATCTAAACTTTTAAAACCAAATCTATCATATATGGAACACTAGTGATTTATTTAGTATCTGCTAAAGTATTATACTGGCTCGCATTAACATAGTAATTAGTCTTTGATTGCTTGTTAAGAATTTCTCAGTTGCTAATATAATTGTAGATGAATTTAATTGTTTGACAAAACACTGCAGAAAGAAGCAAAAATTCAAAGCAAGAAAACCAAGCATCACTCAATAAAGAAATCTTCAGTGGTGCTGCAAAAAATGTACATAAAGTGAACAAATTGATTTGATTCGAGCTATCATGTTGACTTGCAGAGGACAAGCAAAAAAAGTGTTAACTTGCAGAGGAC